TAATACAAATGTGCGATACTCTCAAGATAACTGAAAAAATATCGAAATTTATGACTGCATTTTATTTACAGAATATTTACAGAAAAATTACAGAAACTTTTAAATAAAATTTTGAAGAAAAAATATAATAGTTGATTAAAGTAGTAAAGAAAAAAAAATATTTTCTTTATTTTTTCAAAAATTTTTGTTTCAGAAACTAAATTAATTATATGTAAAAAATTTAATTAAACTAAAATAATATTTTACATAAGCTAAGACCAACATTTAAATATTTTTATTTTACTTGTAGTCTTTTATATTTATACGAGTATATACATACTATATACTCATGCTATAAGTATAAAACCAAAATAATAAGAAAAAAACTTTGAAAACTTTAAAAAATTTCTAAAACGTGCAACGAAGAAAATTTAAAGGATTCCCAAGCATTTTATGTTTTCTAATTTCTTTTACTGTTTTTTTAGTTTTTTTTTTACTATTTTCTGAGGAAATGTAATTTTATGCACTTCATACTTAAAACATAATACTTAGGTACAATTACTTTATATATGTCACATATGTATATGCAATTGTGTATGTATGTCCATGTATAAATGAATAATTTGAGGGATAAAACCATTAACATTCTTGTTTTTAAAATATGAAAATAAAAATTTTTTCCTTATTAATGTCATTTGAAGTATTTTTAATGTTTTTCACCAATTTAATGCAATTTTCTTTTTTCCCTTAAGAAAATTTTTATTTGTTCTGAAAAGTTAGAAATATTTTTATAAAATTTTTGAAATTGTGAAAATATTTTTTAGTTATATAAGTGCTATAAGTGAAAAGTATTTTTATTGTTTTGTGTCCGGAAGATGAGCGTTTATTTAAAACATGTCTATTAATTTTCTGTTTATTTCTTTTCATACAAATAAATTTTATAGACTCGAGTTGTGAATAATATGGAACCTTTAATATCTCAAAAATTCTACAAAAATTTTATGGTATAGAAACAATTTTTAGGCCAAACAACAAAAGAAATTTTCATTTTAAAATTGAATTTTCAAGTTTTCGATTAAAATTTTTCTAAAATTACAAAATATTTCAAAAAAAAAAAAAAAAAACTTTTGATCTTTGTCCGTAATCCGTTCATTTATACGAGTATGGAAGGTAATAATGTTAACTTTTGATATTAAATTGTAATTTTTGTTTTTAATATTAATTTAAAATGATTCACTCATAATATATTTTTATTCTTATACTTATACTTGTACATTTTACGAGGCATAAATATCAAGAGTATTAAAAATTAAGTAATAAAAAAAAATGTGAGGAAAATGTGAGGAAAATGGGTTTAAATGTGTAGAATGCGGATATAATATAAAAAAAAATAAAATATTTTAAATGTAAAAACCCGTAGAAATATTGAGAAAAAAAAAAAAGAATGAAGAATGAAGGATATAAATTACATTTTATAACACGAATAAATTGTTATCAAAGAGGAAAACGCGATTTTTTAATTTCTTTTTAGCATTTTTGAATTACTCGAAAAAAAAAATCGAACACAAGGTGTCAGAGTGAGAAAGGAACGCTTACACAACAAAAAAGAAATAGGAAAAAGTTTTTTTTTAAAGAAATTTTCATTTCTTAATTTTTTTTTTCCATTTGCTATTTTTAAAATGGCTGCGATTTGATTATCGTATTTTCCTTGCACGTTTATAATAGTTAATTTTTTTTCCATAATGCAACAAATACAGTATTTCAGAGCTTGCTTCAAATATCAGTAAATAGGAGTAATTATTAAGTAAGTAGGTTTAGGATCACTAACTTTGATTTTTTCCTAAGCAATTTAAGATTAATTTTAAATTTGTATCAGAAACCAAATAAGAAGAATTTAAATGCTTTTTTGGAATTCATTAGAAAATTTTCATCTCAAGAATATTTTTTTTCAAATTTAAAAAAAATTTCATTTCTAAGCACAAAATGCTTATCTGAATAAAGGAAATTTGTCTGCCAAATGCTTGGTGCAGTTCAAAAAAACCAGTTTTTTGACAATGGATTTTTTTTTTCCGATATCCTTAAATTAGAGGGTACATATTTTCATTTCCTTTTTTACCATCTAATTTTTTTTTCAAATTGTGATTTTACATTTCTTTTTTAAGTTCCATTTTTTTTTTGTTTTTTTTTTTTATATTCAAAATCGTTAAAAAATTATTAATTCGCGAGAATTTCACTTGAGTTGAGTTTATTTGTACGTATTTAAATTTGAAATGGGTTTTTTTTATTTTAAATTTTTTTTGTGCATTTTATTTTTTTATGAACACCTCAAGTGTGATTTGCATGTCTAATGAACTGTGTAAAACGTTCCAAAGAAACAAGAAATGAAAAAGTATCAAAATCTGTAGAAATGGTGAAATTGGAATCAAAAAAGCAATTTTATATAAAGAATTATTAGTTTTTTTTCTTCTCTCTCTTTCTCTCTCTCTTTTAATTTTGATATGGCCCTTAGCTTTTATTGAAATTATTTAAAAGTGACTTGGGGAGGTTTTTACTATATACAAATTTTATAATTTTTTTCTTATATAGGATTATTAGAAAATTACCCTGATTTTCTTTTTAATACATACATATATTTCTTTTTAATATATACATATATATATGTATACATAATACATTTGGCTTCAACGCAGTTGTAACGAGGGAGACAGAAGTGAGATAAATTTTATATTTTAAATGTGATTCTGTTTATTTGTTTTTAAATATTTTATTTTCCGAAAATTAGTTCCAAATGTGCTAATATATCAGAATAATAAGCCTTAATTGTTTAAAAAATTGTTATGTGTTTGAAATATTTTATAAATGTGTTATAATTTTAACAAGAACAGCATTGTGTTCCTCATAGGCATTAAGAATACTTTGTACTGTTAAATAAGAAAATTTATTAATACTTACACTTTAAAAGAAATTTTCAATGCAATTTTTGGTTTCTTTTCATTTTATTTTTCCTTAAATACCATAAAAAACTAATTTCTTCCTTATATCTATGTTAAATTATCTTTTATATACCAAATTTAAATAACCAGCTTTCCCAATGAATAGTTGAAATATTCTGCTATACATTAGGAAAACTAATTATATACATTTTCTAATGGTCGTCTACAAATTGAAATAATGAATAATTGTGTATAAAATAGCATGAATATCATATATATATAGATAATGACATAAGAGGTTATTAAAAAAATTCTCCAAATTTGCAAAATTTACAATGAAAATTCTAAAAGAATAATGTGAATACTGTGTCTATGAGAAAAATTTAATATTATATTCCATTTCAATATTTCGTATTCTAAAATCAATTGAATAGAAACTATTAATTTTATTTTATAGTTGAACAATTTATTAAAACGAATTCATATATAAACAAGTAATTCAACAAACATTTTGATTATTTATAATATATAAAAAATTTCTCTTTTATTAAAATCATTATAAAATTATTTATTAAGTGAATTAAATAAGTGTTCAAAAGTGATTAAAAGATTTTGAAATAAGTGTTTATATATTCAATATATAAAAGTATTAATATTGCAATCATATAATATCATATTTGTTTAATATATATAAAGATTAAATTTAAAACTGAAATTTACAATATTTCAAAATTGTAATTTTATAATAAACATTTGATATATCCACACAACACAATATAAAAATATATTTAATTCAATTCCAAATTGAAAAATAAATCTGTTTCAGAGAATCACAAATAAATTATTAAATTATAATTAATAAACTAATAAAATTTAAAAATTGAATATAAATTAAATATATTAGAAAAAAAAACATTACCAACTTAAATAAATTTTACTCAATCTTCAATTAAATTGATATTATTAAAGGAATATTACAATATTAATTGTTAAAGAGAATTTGAGTGTAATTGTGTAATTAATTTTATTGAGTAATTTAATGATGCGAAGAATGTAAATATTTACAAACAAAGTGTACTAATATTAAATATAATCCTCTCTCTCTCTCTTTATCTCAACAAATTATTTATTTATTACTCAAATTGAGAATAATTTAGAATTACCAAACAAGTGTCATTCAATATTAATAAAGAGATTTTTTATTGTAATTTAAAAAGAGTGTAATAAAAGTTTTGATCACAATATTGTAATGTTAATATATTACTCGTAATCATATTAAAATAAAATTTATATACATTTAACAGAGTCAATCTGTTAAAATTATTCCGCTTAAAAAAATATACATACAATAGCTATTCAATTAATTTTTCATATTTATCCTTTTTGTTATTGGCATAACATATTAAAAATTACTCAAATTTCTTAAATAATAAATACATAGCTGTTAGATGCATATATACGTATAAAATATAAAGTGTATATTTATACATACATATATAAATTATGCATAATATATAATATGAATTCAATTAACTTAATAATTTAAACTAAATAAAAAAAATAAAACAGAAAACTTTAATTATATTTAAAAAAGAAAACACAAATATACTATAAATTTATTTTCTAACCTTAAAAATTATAATATTATGTATATTATGTAAATTTATTAAAAACAAAAAAAATTATAATAATTTTATATGTAAATAAAATTTATACTTTTAAATAGATGTAATAATTTGTATATATATATATATATATGAATTTATTTATATAAAAATGATAAATATACATATTTGCATATGTGAAAATATTCATATATATATTAATATAAAAGTACTTATATATTTATTAAAAAATAAATAAATATTTAAAAAAAAACAACCAAGAAAAAAAAAGTTTATTATAGAATTGATGAAGTTTACTTTGGTTTTCGTTTCTATTTGTTTTCTTTCGTTTCTTTATTAAACTGGGTATATACATATATAGGGTAGGTATATATATACTGTGGTATATACTGTGTGCGCTCTATATACATATAAAATATTTCTATAAATAATGCATAACTCAACCAGAAAATTGGATTAAAAAAGATTTGTTCATTTTTATAACATTTATTTTGTGTGTTTTTTCTGTGTTTTTTCCTTATTTTTATTCTCATGAATAATATTTAAAATAATAAAAAAAAATTAAAATATTTTATATAAAATTCATATATCATAAATGTGCGGTATATAGAAAATTTTATACATCTATAAATATAATATATATATCTATATATATAGAGGTATATATGCATATATTTGAATAAACTTAATATAAAAATAATAAACTTGAATAATAGTACCTAGTTTATAAATAGTACTCTGAAAAAAAAAAAAAAATAAAAAATAAATAACACATAATGGAGTGGATACCAAGAGGATTACCAAGCCTTCATGCTCCAATTCCAATTTGTGGTGAGTTATGGAATGTAATTTTCAGAATTTTGTTTTTTTTATTAATAAAGAGAAAAAAAATTGTAATTTCTTTTTTGAGAAATAAAAAAAAAGTTATTTTTACAATATTTTCCTCCCATCTTTTCCTTTTTTGAATAAATATGGGTTTTTAATGTGGGTTTTTTTTTTTTAAATATTTTAAAATATGTTTTAAAATATATAAGTAAATAAATACGATTATTGTATTGAAATATTTTTAGATATTAAGCTTTAATATTGAATTTTTAATTTCTTATTCATTTTTATTTTTAAAATAATAGATAAAAAAAATAATTGGAATTATTAAATTTTCTTTTAACATAAAAGTGAATTTTTCGTGCTTTTATTGTCCATATTTTTTTCAACAAAATAACAATTTCGTGGATTTTTATTCAAGGAGAACCGGTAGTAGTAAATAAAGGAAGGTATATAAGATTTCCAACAGCTTGAAAACATTGTTATTCACAAAAACTTGTATCATGTAAAAATATGTGATATTATTTTTTGAAATTTTTATAATATTTTGAAATGCTGTTTTAAATTAAGTATTAATTGCAATTTAGCAAATTAATGCTGTAAAGGTCGGAATACTCATTTCGAATTTTAACTTTAAATAATGACTGATTTTTAGGGCCGGATCACCAATCTCGCTATTTTATCCATTTAAAAAAAATGAGTAATCTTATTGGAAAATTGAAATATTCATTAGAAAAATGGAGAATACTGATTTGAAAGAGAATAAAATGCAAGTAAAAAATCGAACTACGTGATAAGGCTCTTAATTTAGTACTTAGCTTATACTATTTTACAGTTCAATTCTTCGAAATACAAATTTGGTTCTTTTCTGGTTACATCTGCATACTCGTTCAGTTGTTTCGAAAATATTATTGCGGGTATTAACTTATTGTATACACATTTTGAAATGTCAAATTTTTGATGTTTTTTTTTTTGACATCTTGTCATTGACATATACATATATGTCAAAACAAGTAATTAACAACAGAATATTAACGCCATATTTTTAAATTTACAAAAATATTTTTTCTGGTTTTAAGCTTACTTTTTTTTTCTTGAATTATGAAGGATTAAACTACTATTTATGTCAATTTTCCTTAGAATTGTGTGTTGGTAAATGAGAAATACATTCGGTTCCTATTCAAATTTGTAGATATATGAGATTTATAAAATATTATTAAATATTAACAATTTATTTTAATATTAAATTCTTATTTGTTTTTTTTTTTTGTAAATATTCATTGAATTTCAAACACTTTCTTTAACCAATAATATTTATTTATTTACAAATTGTTTGTACAATTTGAATTTTTTTTTTTCCAATCATATTAAATCGTGATATCATTAATTCTTTAATGTAAACAGAAATTTTTATTTAACATGTACTCAATATAAATAACATTTTTTAAATTTTCGTTTAAAATACGTGCATATATGTGTATATTCACATTTATAAAATATAAATATATAGTTAAGTGTAATATATTTAAATAATTTTTTGAACTCTATAAAGAGTAAAAAATAACGTGAAATCAAATTAAATTTAACCTTTTTTGTAATTCCTTTATATATACACGTATATTTGCGTGTATATAAATAATAATTTTATATTTTCAATCAATTGACTTTAAATATTTTTCTGATTATCTCATCATGTTCTCGCTATTTAAATACATTGATTTAAATAATATTATATACATATATCTTTTCTTATAATATAATATTATTATATAAATTATAATGTAAGTAAATTTATAACAATATTAAATTTTTACCATTTTATATTTATAATGATTTTTCATATAAGAATGAACACAGGTGCTTATAATGGTAACAATGGATGAATATTATTTATGAAAAAAAATCAAATTTAAGTATCGTTTAAAAATGAATTTTACTTGTAATACAAATTAGTTGACTCTAACAAATAAAGTATCATTATATGTATTTGTGTACAGTATTATAGAAAGTGTGACAAGATTATTAGAATATTTTTAAAATTTTTATCGTCCTTAGAGATATAATACATTTAGAATTTAGATTTATATAATTTCAATTATTCAGAATTTTTGTATGCCATTAAACTTTATGAATAGTTGATAGGATTTAAAAATAATTTAATATTTTTAAGTGATAGTCATATAGTATATAGGATCAAATTGTTATACATTGAAGAACAGATTAGGAAATTAAAATATTGTAATTCTCAAATTTTGTGGACTTATGACACACACAATAATTTGATTGAAATAGTAATGTATTTCGTATTAAAAATGTTGGTAATTTGAAGGTTAGTTTTACTATATATACTTCAAAATATAATAAAATTGTAGATTAATGAACATTACTGTTTAATTGCGTTATTGAACTCTTCGTAGATGCTAATATCGGCCTAGAAATTTTAATCACAAATATAAGGGTTACATCAATATGAGATTACGGAAACTCATACTCCGATAAAATGATATTACGATTATTGGTAAAAAGTAGTTTACACTACTAGATTAGTATATGCATAAAAATGCTTAAAAAATCTTTTCTTACAATATTAATAGAGAATATTAATAATTTTTCTCTCTTCACTTAAAATGTATGTTTCACAGTGTAAATTTATATTTCTCACGTATATACTTACTCTTTTATTACATTTCACGTGCCATAAGAATTGTACACCCTGTAATTTTTTTTTTCGCTCATGTATTATATTTTAATATCATATTATTATATATTTTGTTTATATATTTCACATATATATATATACATTATATTTGATTATAATAACGTGCAAATTGACGAATAAATTGCCTTATTTATAATACATGTAAACGATATGAAAAATCGGAAAAATAAGAAGAATTACATGAAAAAATACATATATATATATATATTTATTTATTGAAACGAAAAACGAATATTATTATCAAATCAAACAATGTGGTTTAGTAAGGATAATAAACTGTTAAAAAGGACGAATAACAAACTACGTACATAAAAATAATGAAAAACACAACAAAAAACGATCAAGAGCATAATATATAAAAATTATATCAAATCAAAATCAAAAAGTGAAAGGTAGACAGAATAATAGCGTGGGAGCGACTTATATTATACAGCAATATACTCGAGGAAACGAAAAAAAGTGCTCGAGGGGATGAAAAACAAAATAAAAAGAATAAAAAAGAAAAACAGAAAAAACAATTTGTTAAAGAAGGAAAACATTTCAATTTACTTATCGTTTTTACTACAATACATTTATAATTTTTTTTCCACTCCACTATATTATATTTACCTTGTTTCCTTTCTTTCTATAATTTATGTATACATACATACTTATTTTTCGCTACCCAATTTCATTTTACCATTCAATATATCCTTAAAGAATAACAAATCAAATCAAATAAAATTTAAACCGAGCAAAAAAAAAAAAAACAGAGAAGAGCATAAATAAATAAACTACAAAAACATGACAAGTAACACACACATTTTTATGGTTTTCCGTTCATGATATTTTTCATATTAAATTTTTTGTAGTTGTATATGTAATGTATGCATGAATAAGAGGAATTAGGCTTACTAACTCACCAACATTATTATACTAAATTAATTTTATCCTATAATTATCTTTATAAAATTAATGCAAGTTAACTTGTAAGTTAAAAAAAAAACTACTTATTTACTTATGTATTCAATTAAATGCTAATATAAATAAGAAAAAAACAAATCACTCAAGATTACCAGCATTTTGTAATTTTGAAAATTGTGAGAGGAAAATATTTCAAAATTTATATATGGAAAATATAGAATTTCCAGTAATGTGAAATTGTGTTTTGTAATTCACAGCATCGCTTAAAGAATATTTTTTCAATTCATCTCCATCCCTTCCAGGTTTTATCTCTTTCCAAAAATTTGTGTGATGAAAAAAAAATATTGATTTTTATTCGAATTTGTAATGGAATTAAAAATTTTTTCTCTTCTGGCACGAATATGTTACTTTTCAGTATTAAATTTCATATTTCCAAATTAAATTTCAAAATTGAAAGTAGATCTTCCATCAAACCCTCTAAATATAAATTTTGAAACTGTGTGATTATTAAAAAATTTTTTTTAAAATGCTTATGGGTAATCCTAATTCATAATAATAGCAAAAGATATTAAAGTATAAGAGGTTTTATTAAATGTTATACTCAAATAATCATATTATACATACATGCAAATAAATATATAAAAATATTCAGAAATAAAATTTATAAGCACATTTCCGGAACTAAATAGGCAATCAATGAATATATACATGAAAAAAAAAGAATAAAAATAAAAGTGTTCGCACATTCATATAAATTTATATGTATTACTTATACACGTATTACAAGAAAAGCAACAGAAAGTCAGTATTTAATAAAATGAAAATTTATAATAACTGCTCTATATATATACTTAAATTTATAATAATATATTTATATAAAATAATTCACATACAATTATAGAACAAAAAAAAATAACAACATAAAACATGGAAAAAAGAAAGGAAAATTATAATAACGTGATCGGAAGGCATAAGGAAGTAACTGGCAATAATGCTGGTTAATAGAATCAATTTCCTTTGAGAAATTTCTCTAAAAATATACATTATTATATGCACTTATATTTATCATTTATATACACATATATGTATGTAAAGTATAATATAAATTTATACACTATATATCCTTGCGCCCAAGGATATAAGTGTTATTATTTTGTTTTTTCTTTTTTGTTATTTTTCTCTTATATTTTGAATTTCATTTTTATTTTCTAACATTAACGTTTTTATAAATTTATAATAATATATCCCTTTATATATATATATACATAAATATATAGTTTATAATATGGCGTGTATTTGATGAAAATACTGCGGGCTAAAAGAAAACAAAAAGTAGTTATAATAACAATAATAAAAAAGAAAAAACAAAAGGAAAGAAGGAAAA